TCGGGGGGGGGGGGGGGAGACAGGATAATGCTGGGAGAGGAGAGGGGAGGGGCTTTGGAGGCTAGAGGGGAGAAGGGGAGGTGGTGCTGGGAGAAGGCATGAAAGAAGGGGTGGGCATGAGGAAGGCGGGGATGGAGCAAGGCATGTGCGAGGGCACAGGGGCATGAGGGTATTGGGGGCAGAGAGTGGTGAGGGGGTGGGCATCAGGGAAATAGAGGGCAAAGGGGGCAGGGGCAGTGAGGGAAGCGGGAGGCACCAGGAGGGTGCAGGGGTAGCGGGAAGGTGCAAGTGCCAGGGGATTCTGGTGGTGAAGCAGAAAGGCAGACACCTGCAGGGGAGGAACCAACACCAGAGGAGAGAGGCAAGGCAGGTGTGTAGAGGGGGGTGTTAGGAGAGGGGATGAGGAGGGGTAGCTCACATGATCAGAGTGGGGCTCCTGGAGGAGTGGGCACAGAGGGGGGAGAGAAGGGCTGGTGGAGGGGGGCAGGTCTCAGGAATGCTGAGGGCCGTGAGAAGGGCAGGAGTCAGGACAGCAGAGGTGGGTAAGGGGTCACAATCCTACAACTGAGGCCTAATCAGCACAGAGTAGAGCAGAAGAATCACTTCTTGAGTCTTGCACCCCAGAATCATGTTTGCTTTTTTTGTAACAGTGTCACACTTGACACTTGTGGTCCACTATGACCCCTAAATTCCTTTTAGCTGTTCTCCTTCCTAAACAATCACTCCCAATTCTATATATGCTCCTCCCAGAGGGCTGCTGCAGCTGGTGTGAAGCCCAAGGCATGACCCACTTGCACTGGGAATGGAGGCAGGCTCCAGCCCCTTGTCCTTGGCTGCCCGCCACCCCATGCTACACCCGCTACACCCCGGGTGGCCACACCAATATCAACCTGTAGAACCTGCTGCTGCCATTCAGAAGCCCCGAGTCATCTCAAAGGGGAGGCCTAGCAGCTTTCAGAGTGGCTACCAACCCAGCTGAGTGGGGACATGGTAGCCAAGGGAGGGGCACCTGCTTCTGCATGGTGGCACCAGGAGACCCCCCACAGTCCTCAGCCCCTCTCCTGCCCCCCTGTCTGTGAGTGAGCAGGAGATCCCCCCTTCTCAACATGGCATCCCAAAGGGGGCCCCGCTCTCTGACCCTCCCTCCAGCCTCCTTTTCTGCCTCCTTTCTATTTCCTCTGACCACAGACATCCTCCTTTTCTGCTTCACAGTACCCCAGCAATGCCACCTTTGCTGCCCCTTCTCTCCACACAGCTGTCCAGATCCTGCTGTCACAGCATCCAGAGAAGCCCAACCCCTCTTACCCGTTAGCTCTGTAGTAGCTAACAAATGAAGTCTGATTTTCTTTAAAACTGTTGACTGCCCCTCCTTCCCAACAAATCCTTTTGATTTGAAGAAAGTTTTCAGGGTGAAATATCTGGGTTTCTATCCAAGAGTAAACCAGATAGTTGGATTACAAGGCTCAGTGACAGCCTTAGAAGCTTAGTTAAGACTCCATGATTTGAAGGAGTAGAAGTTCTCTGAACACCACTCGACTGTGGTTATTAAATTATATTTTGTACTACAAAAAGAATATTACTATGTAACATTTATACTTTTGTCACTATCCAGTATCTACTCCTGTAGTTGTCCCAAAACAGTACTGCAATTATTTCCCATGCAAGCATCTGCGTAAGAGAACAAGTTTTCTACATTTCTATGAAATTGGTAGTTCATATGTGAGAAAGTCAAAGTATATAAAAATTATGTAAACTCAATAACAAATAACTGCTAAAAATCTTGCACTAGATTTATTGTTTACCTTACCAAAAGAGCAACTGGAAAATCTTTAAAACTTTTTCCAATATTCCTGTCTTCAACAAATGCCTCACTTCCATCATGATGAGCTTCAGAAACTTTTTCAGATTGTATTTTTGCTGTACCTACAAAAGAACAAGTTTATTTTACACAATGAAAATAAGGAGTGACTTTTAATGCTTGAAACAAATTCATCTTTAAAATGCAATGTTACAACAAATGCTCCATTTCCCAGAAGAGACTTTGTGTAGATTTTGCTGGACAATGCAGTGATACAAAGTACAAAACTGATCAATAATGCTTTTCTATGGAGAATAGAGCTTTGGAGCATCACAGCAAAAACATCAAGGGCAAGAATGAGAATTCTTGGTGGTATCAGGCCCATCAAAAAAGAATTCAGATTTACTAAACTCTGTAATGGCCATTTCTTCCCCCATACTCTTCGTTCTCTTCTTATTTCAGCCATTTCCCACACAGAAAGCTTTAAAATATTTTGTGAAGAGCCTGTACTACATTTTACTAACAAAATATTTTGTAAAGTTCCTGAGGTGTAAGCCCATCCTAGGATACTTGAATCCAGCTTTCATTGCTCTACCCATACATCAAGGCAGGAGGTTACACCTGAATCAAAGACTACGATACAAGACTAAATGGAATTATTTAGCAGGAATTATTGCGTCCTGAGCAGTCTGAAAAAGTAAAATAATGTATTTAAACTCTTAACTATTGTCTTGGGGCGTAACACAAGGTAACTGTTCTTTTGAAAACTTTAACCACCACATTCCCTACTTCTCTTGCCCTCATTTTATTTCTACTAGATCCTGAATCCTCCTTCGTAATCCCATTTCCCAGTAAGCCATTCAATAACCCTCTAACACTCAATTGTCTGCCTCCTGTCCAACAAGCCTAGAATTTCACTGCTTACCTGTAATACAGGTTTAATTAATATTCTAAACACAAGACATCATTCCTATTTTACCAATGACACACTAAAATCATAGAGTAATTAAATTATTTACTTGGTGTTACACAGTAAGCTAAGTGAGTGGAAGAGAACCTTAGAGTACCCATTCCCAAAGTACTGCTAGCCAAAAGCTCAAACTCCCTTATAACTTAGTTGGTTAACAATGAACATTTACCTGGTAAATGCTTTGGAAAACATGAAAATGGTACTATCAGAAGCCATGTTCCAAGACAGCACAGGAGAAATGCTATCCACCAAGCCCCAAGCCAACGTGGGTCATCTGGATCAATCTCTGTGCTAGAAAAGATAATATGGAAAATGTAGATATAATAATGACAAACATCTTCTATTCGTACAGAATATTGCCACAGATTATTGTGGCCTTAAGAGCTATGCATTCAGTTTCTCCCATGGAATTAAGAAAAAGCCTATCAGGTACAATGCTTTTTTCAGCATTGTTTTCTGGACCTATTAAATGTTATAGTTTTACTTTTTTATACAATCAATCAGGACATTATAAAAATAATCAAATCAAAATGGAGGCTCTTGAACCAGAATGTACTGGACTGACTAATATGGGAGCAAGGGAAAATAGATCTTGCTAGGATGCAATGTCACCACCACATCATTAATCACTAAATATATGTTTAATATTATTCAAAACAACTTTAAATCTCTTTATCATCAGTGGATTTTTATACAAGTCAAATCTGAACTGGATACTAGTGCCATCACACTGAAGTTGCATGGCTAAAGTCACAAAAACGAAAAAGCAACAATAGTTCATCCAAATCAGGATTGCACCAATTGCGATATTAGATTGGTCCAGTGATCATCTAGTCCTGTATCTTATTACATTTCAGGAATAGATTCTACAAAGAAATCCCCACTGAATAAGTTTCCATTATGTGACATGCCCAGGAGAGAGGTTTCTTCCTAATCCCAAGAAATTAGTGGTTGGTTTATGTCCTAAGTCACTGAGGAATGATATATCACACAGATTTTTTTTTTTATTTTAACTAATGTCACTGTGGAAATCCTAGAACATAACCACTGAAATGAAACAAGCGAGATCCCACTCTTCATATTAATCACTAAAGGAATTCTCTGGATAGAAAATATTGATTGTCTGAAATTTAGTTGCTTCATTCATGTACTTAGAAGGCAAGTTTGCTCTTACTTTAAAGATGATAAATAAAAGTGATAACCACCATCTCCAAAAGTTGAAGCTTGGCTCATGCCCCTGATTAGGAGGAGTAACTTTTCCCTACCAAAAAGATTAGAGTTTAGGTCTCTTTTCTTAGAAGTCATCAAAGTCAAAAATGTTGCCCAACAGGCCACAGGGTTTTCAAAAAAGCCCACAACACAAATAATCTAATGTTCTTTGAAGGAATGAGCTATTAAAGAGACTGAAGCTGAGCTCAGCTATTCACCCTCCATATCCTCAACAATGCCATAGGAAGTACCTGAAGATTTTAGTAGATTATTTAGGTAAAAAAGATCAATAAAAATAGCACACGGTGCACGGAACAGAAGAAAACCAGAATGCTGCCTTACCTTGTTTGAAGAGGGGCATCAATATAGATTTTAAGCAGCTGCCCTCCTAATACATAGCCAAGGGCAGGACCCAGCAATGACATGGCATAGCCAATTCCTAAAGAGAAAGAAAAAGAAAAAAATATTTTCCATTTTATGTCTTACTAGGATATACAATTCTTCAATGTAAAGTTAAAGAAAAAATTAAGCCTATTTCAGATCACAGTAAAGGTTCACAAACACACAAAACACATTTGCAGGGGAAGAAAAATTACATATAGACTTTAAATGTAATGATTTATGGAAGATTTGTAAAAATCAAAATATATACTTAATTATATTATGAATCTCTTTAACATTATCTCATAGCTATTATTTAAGAAATAAGGTGGGTAAAGTAGCATCTTTTATTAAAACAACTTCTGGCTATTTGGGTGGCCCTGCCATGATGCAATCTACTTCTCTGGTGGAGTGCCTTGTTTGATTAAAATGGTTTTGTGCACTCATGTGTATATCCCAGACTTTCTCCTCAGAGCATATTCTGTGCTTGACTGCATTGGGGTTGCTACTGGATCAATGAAGGCAGGTGTGGTTACCTGCAGTATTGCTTTATATGATGATCTGTTGGGTTGCACTGTTGACACTGATTGTGGTGTCCAGGAAGTGATATGGAATGGAAACTTTGCTCCCTATTGTGTGAAAGAATTGAAGAACAAATAGCTAATTTCTCGAATTGTGTGTGTGTGTGTGTGTGTGTGTGTGTGTGTGTGTGTGTGTTTCAAAGCACTTGAATCTTGCCATGTTAGGTAGCATTATCACTAGTATTTTTTGCCCTAAATTTAAATGGTTTAAAGTAAAAAAAAAAAACCACTCTTAGCACTTAAATTATTAAGAGAACACATATATAGCCTGGAAATTCTAAGCCTGGAAAGGCCTATACTTTAAGAATTTTGGTGTAGTTTTACCATTTTGCTAATTACAAACGTTTAAAAACGAAGAATCAAAATCAGTGTATATGTACATGGTAGTCAGAGGCCTTATTCTTAAGGCTTTTTGCTAAGTGGCAGGGGCATCCGTAAATTGGGATGCATTCTAAACCAGTCACATTGAAATAAGACAATTTGGTACTTGACTCCACATAAAGGAAATAGACTAGAAGATTTAAAGGTTGATAGCCTTCTATCTGGCAAGGACCCACTTATCAATAGTTGAGGATGTGAAATTCTCTTTTTTGTATTATTTTGTTATTATGCTCCTAGTCTCTCTATTGTTTATCTGTATTGCCTCTGACAGGTTCCTTGATTGATTCTGTCTGCTGTATAATTTTGCTGGGTGTAAATATATTAAGGTAGCAGAATGTAATTGGTTGGATAATCATGTCATACTGTGTTAGAATTGGTTAGTTAAATTTCAGTAAAATGACTGGTTAAGGTCCTCCTGAAAATGTTACTATATACATTGGGAGTAAACAGGAAGTAGGTTGAAAAAATAAGGAAACAAGGAAAAGACACTGGATTCATGCTTTCTGGAAGCTAACCACATTGAATTACGTACATCTCTGGACTTGGATATTGCCATTCTCTGTTTATGTGAGGAAGGCCAAGGAAGTGGGAAAGTGAAGGGATAAGAAGCTGATGTCTGCATGAGCAGCTCTGACAGCAATAAATAACACTTGAAGCATAATAAAATATACAGCTCCCAGTTTACTGAACGTCTAAATGATTCAAGAGCAATGGCCCTGTATGCTTTCAGTATAACTTGCTAAGTCACTGAGGGGGAGAAGGAGAGCTATTTTGTCTGCCCAAAGCAGCAATACAGACGGTTCTCTCTAGTTTTGCAAGGCAAGAGAATAACAAGCAGCATGCTTTCTTGATTTTGCCTTAGAGCATATCTAAAGAGGTTCTCTTATTTCAGGCTAGTCCAGATTAGCCAACTTGATTAAACAGCAGTGAAGAATCAACAACTCCTCTTTTAACTTGTGTCAGCAGCTCTATATACTTTAACTTGAGCTGCTATTATGTCTCCAAGTTAATATGTCTTAATAGCTATTTTAATCCAAATTAGCTAACCCTCTGTTCAGTATAAAGTATGCTCTTAGTCTTTTTAAGGCCTAATTGCCACAATATCAGAGTATCCTACACTATGGTGGAGAACAGAGAGACAGACATTAACTTTCAACTAAGTATACATGACTAATTATGCGGAAAGGACTTTAGCTAAAATTCTGTATGTAAGCAGGGACTGAAGGACTGCTGCACTGCAGCTAGCTGAAGTTGTTTAGCCCTGCAAGATAATTAACTGTTGATATGTAAATATAGCTCATGCTGGGATGGGGAAGAAAGCCAGGGTGCCCTTATGTAAATCCAATTCAGCCAGGGCTGATGGAGGATCAGTTGTTAGCATGGAATGTGGTATGTTGTAACTAATTTGTCTGTTGTGGGGTCACAAACCATGCTACCCCCAAATGTAGGAACTGTAAAATATGACACCAGTGCTTGCAGGAGAGACACCATCATTGTAAGGGGTCTCAGATAAACAAGCCTTCCCTTTCCAGAGTTGAGTGAACTGAGTTTGGGGGGAAAGGGCTTGAGCCAGCCTACTTCGCTAGCCTGCCAGGTGTGAGCTGTAAGACTGGTTCAACCTGTTTCTTTTCCTCCCTGTTTTAAGGTAGACCTAAAGCAGACTCCATCAGGAGTCTTTTGTTATTCCATTGGAAGCTGGAATCTTTTAGTCAGACTAGGTGTCGGCTAAGAGTTGAAATCACTGGTTTGGCCTGGAGCCAGACCCATTGTGACCAGTGGGCAGCTGATAGGAGCAGCGGCTGGCGGAAATGGCCAGCAGCTGGCCAGCAAGGTGGCTGGCAGGAACAACCGGCTGGTGGCCAACAAGGCACCTGGCGGTCATGGCGGGCCGCTGCTAGGAACAGTGGCAGGCGGCCAGCAGAAGAAGAGGCTGGTGGAACAAGAGGACCACAGAATCAGCACAAAGGTGGCATGGCCTCAGGCTCAATAAGTGGAGTCATTAGAGTGATGTGTCGGGGTCCACATTGACTGGGTGGATCGGCATACAGAGAAATTTGGGTAAGTGAATGTAAGCTGGGACAGTTACTTGTGGGGGGGGGGGGGAGGTTATGAACTCTGTTCATGGTATTTTCCCAAGCTAATGTCATGTGACCTCTCTCCCCTTTTCTACACCCAGACTCTGTGCTTGCGAGTGGGAAAGCATTGCCTCTCAGAGGCGCCCAGAGGTGTGTGAATTTCCCAGGCTACTGGGTGGGGGCTCAAGCCAGTTCTGTGTAAGATGGATGAAAAGGGACTGCTAGATATTGAACCCGTCCCTGGCTACTGCCAGCACTACTTGGAAGAAGGGTTACATGTATAATTTTTTTCAGTTTTGTTGAATCAGGGATCTGGCCTAGCAATTTTCTTATAGGCCGACATTGCTGCAGCAGGGAGGACAGCTACCATGGGCCCCACAACATGGTGTGTGTGGAGCCCCAGCTCTGTGCCCTCAGAAGGTATAGAGCTGGGGACAGACTGCGATGAGCCTGTCCCTGTCGTCCCCCCCCCCCCAAGCCCCCAGGGCAGCACTCCAGCAGCTACTCAAAGGGTCCAGACCCCCAACTGCCACCACTGTTATTACAGCAATGCTGGAGCTCTGGGTCCCTTTGAAAACTGCTAAGCCCCAGGGCAACTGCAACCTTTAGCTCCTCCTCCCTCTCCCCATGAGCAGGCCTGCATTTCTGGATTCAATATGCTAAGGGGTACGACTATGTTCCTTAGCTATTTAATGCTACCGGAATTATCTCCTTAGAGACCCAACGTAAAACACTGACCGTACTGAAAAACTCCCAATGACTTCAGTGAAGCCAGGATGTCTACCAAAACTGGTAGGACCCTTAGATCCAGGAGACTTAAGATAAAACTTTAAAGGACCAACAAATCATGAATGGGAATTCTAACTTCTGAGCATATGGGACAGAGAGTTTTATCTGTCTAATAACGGCTAGTCTGCATCATAAAATGTCAGTAGAAATCAAGTTACTTTCCTTTCATATCAAATTAAACTTTTGTTTTGGAATGCACTTAAAATGTGCAAATGGAAAGAAAAGAATGCAACATAAAACAAATAAATTTGGTAAATACCTAAAATATGATGTACCAGAGGCCTTTCTGTGCCTAACAAAAGCTTAATTAAAAACAGGTCCCCAAGTTCAAAAACAAGCACATATCTCTGCCGATATTTTATTATAATTCAAAAATGGAAATATGAACGTACTTAGTTATTTAATACATATTTTAATTTTGTTATGTTGTTAAAATAGGCTACTTTTTAAGATGACACTACTTTTTTCTTCTGTAAATTCAGATGTTAATCTGAAGTCTAGAAATCTATGTCATCAACTCTTCAAAAGCACTGGCCCTTTAGATTTGGTTTTAGAGCTAGCAATGAAATCTAATGAGCAAATTACTTTTTTATTTGTTTTAAAAACTCCACTGGAATCATTTTGCAACACTTTCCTGCTCTACAGATATTTCTTGAATATTGGCAGACAGGGGAGATTCCAGAAGACTGGAAAAGGGCAAATATTGTGCCCATCTATAAAAAGGGGAATAAGAACAACCCAGGAAATTATAGACCGGTCAGTTTAACGTCTGTCCCAGGGAAGATAATGGAGCAGGTAATTAAGGAAATCATATGCAAACACTTGGAAGGTAATAAAGTGATAGGGAATAGCCAGCATGGGTTTGTGAAGAACAAGTCATGCCAAACTAATCTGATAGCTTTCTTTGATAAGATAACGAGCCTTGTGGATAAGGGAGAAGCGGTGGATGTCATATACCTAGACTTTAGTAAGGCATTTGATACGGTCTCGCATGATATTCTTATTGATAAACTAGGCAAATATAACTTAGATAGGGCCACGATAAGGTGGGTGCATAATTGGCTGGATAACCGTAGTCAGAGAGTTGTTGTTAACGGTTCTAAATCCTGCTGGAAAGGGATAACAAGTGGAGTTCCTCAAGGGTCTGTTTTGGGACCCGTACTGTTCAATATCTTCATCAATGATGTAGATATTGGGATAGAGAGTACTCTTATTAAGTTTGCAGATGATACCAAACTGGGTGGGGTTGCAACTTCTTTGGAGGATAGGGACATAATTCAAAATGACCTTAGCAAGTTAGAGAAATGGTCGGAGGTAAACAGGATGAGGTTTAATAAGGAGAAATGCAGAGTGCTCCACTTAGGAAGGAACAATCAGTTCCATACATACAAGATGGGAAGCGACTGTCTAGGAAGGAGCATGGCGGAAAGGGATCTAGGGGTCATAGTGGACCACAAGTTGAATATGAGTCAACAGTGTGATGCTGTTGCCAAAAAAGCAAATATGATTCTAGGTTGTATTAACAGGTGTGTTGTAAGCAAAACTCGTGAAGTCATTCTGCCGCTCTACTCTGCGCTAGTTAGGCCTCAGCTGGAGTACTGTGTCCAGTTCTGGGCGCCACATTTCAAGAAAGATGTGGAGAAATTGGAAAGGGTACAGAGAAGAGCGACAAGAATGATTAAAGGTCTAGAGAAGCCTATGAAGCCAGGCTTCATGAACTGGGCTTGTTTAGTTTGGAAAAACGAAGATTAAGGGGGGACATGATAGTGGTTTTCAAATATCTAAAAGGGTGTCACAAGGAGGAAGGAGAAAATTTGTTTCTCTTGGTTTCTGAGGACAGGACAAGGAGTAATGGGCTTAAAGTGCAGCAGGGGAGGTTTAGATTGGACATTAGGAAAAAATTCCTAACTGTCAGGGTGGTCAAATATTGGAATAAATTGCCAAGGGAGGTGGTGGAATCTCCCTCTCTGGAGATATTTAAGAACAGGTTAGATAGACATCTGTCAGGGATGGTGTAGACGGAGCTTGGTCCTGCCTTGAGGGCGGGGGGCTGGACTCGATGACCTTTCGAGGTCCCTTCAGTCCTATGATTCTATGATTCTAGTGTGTGTCAAATTTTTCCCTCTCCTCCCTCCTCCCATCCCCCTCCATCATGTGAGCAGTGCAACAGAATTCAAAACAGGTCTGACAGAATTTGTGCACTCAGAACCACTCTTTAGAATAACTATATAAGCATCAAACAATTTTGAACAACTTTCATGTTAAAGTTCAAAGGTACAGTACAAGTTTAATTGATTGATTAGTTTTGAGGAAATCAACTAATTTGAAAATGCTTCCCTAGAGCCAGTAGAATAAGGATTATAGATTTAAGTATTCTGGATGGACATTTGAGCACAGAACTGAAACCTTAATTAAATCTAATTCTAGCGTTAGTTACATGAACTGTCCTGCAGCATATTATTAAAAGAAACTTGAACAATATTTCAACACAATTAACTTGCTCCTTTATTAACCTGAGGAAAGAAGTGACTGCTGAATTCACAAGTAAATTATGGTGATTGAAGGAATTCTTTTGGTAAGTGTGGAGGAAGGCTTGACCACTATAAAATAGAGGGGAAAAAACATGTGAGTTGCTTTGTCACAGGGTACCACGTGGAGCAGATGTAGTCTCGATTCAAAGAGGCCAACACACGAAGCACTGAGAGGCTACCAACCATCCACAGAAGCACTCCTCATCCTGGGTATGTGGAGCCTGGAGAGTGAGCCAACATTCACCCTGCAGCAGCAGCTCCAATTCCATAGGGCTAGACACTGCTCTCAGCACTTCACCTTACAGCCTAGCATATGGGGTTGAAGCACCACTCAAGTGTGATCTAACTACTGCTCCAGAATGAGGAAAGATGATGCAACCATTAAACAATACTGTAAGAACAGGTTTTAACCCACTGTGATAGCCAGCAGGCCCTTAAACTATTGTCTCTGGCTAAACTTTCTAGAGGCCTGCTGTTCAGCTGGCCGAAGATGCAGAAGGCCTAACTGGCCTGGCTAAAGCCTTGAGTTCAGTGGGAACAAAGGATGAGCATAAAAAAGCAACCCTGCCTGTTTATCCTAAAGTAGAGAGCCAAAGAAGCATAATATTAAGTAGGAAATCATAACTAAACTCTCATATCATAAGTTTCACACACCCATTCAAAGCCAAAGCCCTGGAAGGGGCCTCAGAGTCTGGGCCATTCTCCCGAGAAAGAAACAACAGCTGCCTTCTCAAGGTCAACCACGAATCGTTGCTAAGGAACTAGAGATAGTGCTCCCCTTCACAAGCCCAACTTGCAAATCTATTAAAGATATACTTTAAATAACTGCTTGCTGCGTATCTTATTTTGATTTGTTTTTTGCTCTATACCCTTAGATAAGCACCTATGGACCATACCTATCACTTATCGGGGAAACACCGTTGCCACTCCTATGCATCCCAAGCGGAATGTAGTTATGCCTTGCACATTTTGGGGGGAAGAATGGGGACATATATTTGTGTTTCGCAATTGTGTTAACCTGAGCTGTGGGCGGAGTTACTATGCAATCTTTTAGATTTTTGGCTTATTGGCTCATAATATTTTGCTGCTAGAACCTATCCAAGGGCTCGGGCACGCCCACCCCGTTGTTTCACTCCACCCATCAGCCCCCTTTATAGTATCTTATAATCATTTACTTGGCAGTGTCCGCTGAGCCCAAGTGGCCAGGTAGCACTCTACCAGCACTGTGTGTAATAAACCCTACTGCTTGAATCTACACGGTGTCTACATTTTTGGTTTCCAACAAATACAGTAGGAAGTGGCTGCTGAATAGATAGTTTTTAGCTATGACAGTTTGGCTCTTCTATTTGAGAGTAGATGCCAACTCTAGCTACTGCTAGTTTAAATATGAGCAGTTTAGTACCATGTTAAAATCTCAATTTCTCAACTTATGTTAGTTACATAAGAAAATAAAAGATTAGGTGAATTGTTCTAGATATTGTAGGATTTCTCCTCATCCGCCCCTATTAAATAAAAATAGCCATTCAACAAAATTTCCAACCAGCTGAGATAATAAGCATCGGCGTGCCTGTTTCCAAAAAGAAACCACTGCAGAAACAATGTCTATATTAAAAATCGGTAAGCAACCAAATCTATTACTTCAGCTCTTTAATGAGAAGTGTTGTGTTTACAACATTTATGATCACTTTCTTCTAGCAGGCTTTTTAATTACCATTTTATAAAGTGCTTATTCAGGAATCATTTGCTAGCAGTTTAAATTTTAAAACAATATTACCTATATATAGAGATGATTTGTGTTTTGGGACACTATCATCAATGAAGGCTGTGCCAACAGTGTACAAGGGAGTTCCTCCAACTCCCAGCAGCAGCTGTGCCAGGATGAAGACATAGAGGTAGTTGGAAAGTGAAGACTGTTTGCTGGTATTGCAAGTGAAGTTAGCATTCCTAGTTCCTGATACTGGACAGGTATCTGAAAACACAAGTATAGAGACATTAATAAAATGCAACTGACTGTATCATCATCTAATTTGTGCTATGAAATAGAAAGATAAGAGAGCAAGTGCATAATGCCTTCTATAATTAATAGCACTGGATTACTCAACTCCTAATCTTCTAATGCCAGCTCTTCCTACTGTTTTCCTGAGCACATCAGAACATGTCAACTGAACATCTCTGTACCACAATATTACAATATGAAAAATGAGGATCTCTCCCCACCAGTCAAAGAAGAGTGGGAGATTTGTTTAAAAAAACATCATTTTTATTATTTTTGGTTGCCCAAATACACTGAATTAAATCTCTGGTTTGGAGGAGGAGTTGTTCATGCAACAAGATAACAAATAGAATTATCTGATACTACTGTAACTTACAATACTCCAAGTTAAAGAACAAAATATAGGAAAATGTACTTTAAAACAGAGGTTATTCTTTATCAATCAATAAATCTTTATCTAGCTGATATGGATAGGCACAAAGACACTCTCCATCCCTCCATCACTTAAATGTCTGAGAAGACTGAGGTAGTTGTAGTAGAAGAAAATTCTGAATCTTTTTTTTTTGTGTGTGTGACCCAATATTTCTCCCCTGGAAAGAAAAAAAATAAGTTTGTAAGGGTTTTCCTATTTAATAGGTTAAATCTAACAATCTCCCCATGACAACAAATTGGTTGCCTGATACCTAGAATGAGGAAACTATATTACTCGGATTTCTCACACATACACACAGGGCAAGAAAAGGAACTGTGTTAACGCACACTTTCTTTCTGGTACCCAAAAATTAGTTATATGTAAAAGTTAGCTTTTCCTTCCCTCTAGAATATTATTTTTCCCTCTACTATTTTTCCATAGACATCAAAAAGCCTTGATCTTATTTGACAGACTAGAACTGGAGTATGAGCAGTATTCTTTGCAAATGTCTGCATATACCTGTACACGTGTGCATATACCTGTACACATGTGCAACCCTGAAAAAGGAAAATCCCACTCATTTGTCAGAATGGCTGTACTGGGAACTTCTCAACTATTTAAAAAAATATTTCAGAACACTTACTGTAAAGAGAAAATTATGTAAGTAGGTTTTATTTAACCACAGTATGCCAACCAACTATTCAGAATCATCCCTCCAGGAGCATGACTAAATATTATTTTTTACACTGGTGTTTCATAAATGAAGCCAAAGGATACTTTTTGGCCCTCACAGTGCTGACAAAAGAGTAATACAGCTTATACAATATTTCATTAACAAGCTAGTAATATATTCAGCATCAGAAGAGAGTAGAAATTACCTAGTGGTCATTCAGAACCTAACATGAAGGGTTAGGCAGGAAAAGCTATTATGATTAAGTCTATCATCCTCGCCATTATCCTTTCATCTTCCAAAGTCTTTAAAGTTGACATACAAATTCACTTCATATTAACACTTCATACATTAGCCTGGTCAATTGGCAGTATTTTGATACTAAAATTTCCATTAAGTCAGATGAGGCAAATTTTCAGTTTAAGAGAATTTGTTACCAAAAAAACCTACACACACTTTGTGTTCAATGCTCCTTTCGATTTATACTCTAGGAGAAGGGCTGAAGCTCTTGGAATATGGCAGATGTCTGGCAGAAACCAGGTCCTAGAAGAAGTTAACATTAATAAAAATAACATGGATACTTCCAGAGAGGGTAGACCTGCACAACTTGGTGGAAGGATGTAGAGTACTTGAATAGCAAAAAGGATCTTAAAAGGCTGTAGAAGGAAGGGCTCCTAAGGGGTAGCAGGGTTAGCAAGTTCTTCCCTCTTTGAAGGGGCAAATCCTTGCACTGGAAGGAAAAAATCAGTACCAATTCCTCTAAGTGGGCCTCCACATTTTAGGTGATTATTCTCCTCCTGTAGTATTTTTGGACAAGAGTAGAATATTAGAAATGTTTTAACCCTTTTAATTAACCCAAAATAACCCCAGCTTTTTATCAATAAAAACTAGTATTCTTTACCATGATAAAAGATATTTTGGCATTTGAAGAGATATTAGAAACAGCACATAAATATGATTCAATAATTTTCTAGGAGTATTTATGCGTTTGTGGGTTTTCTACCTAAAATCCAATTGACCTGAGTCTAAGTTTAAACAAAATGTATCAAATTTTATTCTGTGGTACATGAAGTGTTTTATGGTAGGATACTGTTACCGGTTCATCCCAAACCCTCCCCGAGTTCGGGTGGGGTGTCGTCCCGTGTCTATGATCCCCGAAGGGTCTTTTCGATTTATATGTATATATTAGTGCGTTTAGACTCGCTTGCTCACTCGGGGCTGCATCCTCTGGGAATTGGTCACATCCTGTTGCTTGTCGCAACATGTAACTTGTTGGCACCTTGCCAGGTCTGTGCATGGTGGTAAAAAGCACCATTAGCCATTCCCATTCCCATCTTCCCAGGTTCTTGAGAAACTCCAGAGGAATACCATCAACCCCTACAACGGGTCTCAATTACAGAATATGGAGAGGACAGCATTCCTCTGAGTACTAGTGAAGGTGTCTGTGGAATTCCTACCATAAGTCCTGGCATGTAATTCCCACCATACGTCCTGGCTCTGCCCCCGCGCACGTCGCCCCGCCCTTCCGGGATCCCCGGATGATGTCACAAGGGACGTCATCCGGGTGCGCTTGCCTGGGCCGCGGATCCTCGGCTGCGGCAGCCTTGAACGTGGTCGGCCCGGCCCCGGGTTTCTCTGCGGCCTCTTTGCTGCCGCCCGGTGCCCCCTCGGGCCGCTCTACCCCCCGCCCAGCTTCCTTTTCAGTGCAGGGCAGCGTGGTTGGGCCGTCTGCCCCGTCACAGATAACATACTGTAAAAGCAAAATCTTTACATTGTAACAGCTCTAAATACTGCAATAACACCATATGTGATGACCCAGAGTACATTTGTAGATGTACATTAGGGATGTGAGTGTACAAATGTTTAAACGGTTAACCAATGAACCTTGGCTCATTGTTTAACCTTCACAGTTACATGCAAGGCCACCCTCCCTTTCCCCCTCCATAAGCTGATGCCTCTGTATCAAAGGCAACAATATGGGAGGGGGGAAGCAAGTGGGAGCCGGTGCTCACAGGGAACCACCTTTCTACCTCCTCCCCATATGGGTAAACGTGTAACCACTGAAAATTTTAAGTTACACATTTACCAAAAAAAAATGCATTTTAACATCCCTAACATTAATGCTAGATAAACTCAGTAATTATATAAAGTTTACAAGAGTTGGCATTATACAAAAATCAATAATCAAGACAATCCTTGACTCAGGAACAACTAATAACCTAGGAGACAGACTTAAGATATCCTCAAAGATTCAAAAGAACAACCAATCTAAGATGCTTTTTTTAAAAAATGGCTTATTTTTCTCTCCTTTTTTCCTCATCCCACCACCATCCATTTGTAAACAAGTCATGGAAAAGTAGCTTGCATTATACAAAAATCAATAATCAAGACAATCCTTGACTCAGGAACAACTAATAACCTAGGAGACAGACTTAAGATATCCTCAAAGATTCAAAAGAACAACCAATCTAAGATGCTTTTTTTAAAAAATGGCTTATTTTTCTCTCCTTTTTTCCTCATCCCACCACCATCCATTTGTAAACAAGTCATGGAAAAGTAGCTTTTCATGGACTACTAATGAACAAAAGTGGAGCCTTAGACAGACTAGATCACTCCACACACAGAGGCTCCATAGGGGAAAACCACAAAGACACGAGTGGGCACATAGGGACTGGTATAATTGTTAGGCATTGTTGTGACATCAAAGAGTGAATTAAACGTGGAAAAGGATAATGAAATCATTACATTTAAATTTGTAGAAGGCACATTAGAATGTATAAAACTTTGCATAAGAGAGATAAATGGAAGACTGAAGATCAGTTTTCTATTACGCGCACATAAATTTTGGCAAAACAAGTTAAACAGTACTTTCATTACACTATGAACTAGTATGGAGAAAGAAGTTCTTCCCTTTGGAAGATACACACACCTAAAGTTCCTAACATCAGATTACCTCTATATGAATAGGGCAAAGGAATGTCCACTGGATTCTGCCCTGCTTTCTTTACTTTTGTGAGAACTAAGTATAACTTAGCCAAAATCCAACCAAACAAGGATATCTAAATGCAATTTTATGTTTTAAGTAGGCTGTTCTGCTTGTCCACTGCAGACACTGTTTTGTGGTCAATCCTTGAAAAAACACCATCATAAGCTGTGATCTTCATTACAGTAAGAACAACTTTCATTTGGATACATTGAAATCCAGTAGCTTAAGCAAATATATACATTTCACTACTTGGTAATGCACAATTGCCTCAATATATATCCAATTAACTCTTGCAAGCAAAATATGTAATTAATGAAACCTAAATTGCTATTTAGTAAAATATTTACAAGAAGGGAGCCAAGGTCCGTTTTTAAAGAAAACATTTGGATAATGTTGCTTATATAAAAAACTGTGTTATTATTTACAACCATCTGCCATATAATGACACATTTTTCTTCAAGGAATATTGCTAAAAAATTACAGTTTTGTGACTAACAGGTTCTGAACATTCACTCAAATGAACATCAAGTTATTTGATTTTAAATAAATTCACCCTCAAGTCACTCTTAAAAAACTTGGAATTATTTTGCAGCAAATATTCAGCATTTTTAATAATATCTTAAGGCACAGTTACCATTTTCATGTGTGACTAACTCCTACACTTACTTCACACAATCAGGCTTATATAATGTTTAGCAATTTGACACTAAATCTAACTGCATTTAGAAACTTGTCTTTAGGAATAGGAACTTGCTATTGCAACTAAGTCAGAGTGAAAACAGAGGAAAAGAGGAGTGTGACTGGGAAGAAAGCAAGCAGTCATTTTTATTAACATTTGATCTTGTTTTATTACATTTTTTACAAAAAGAAAGAAGTGTCAACACTGACACCCCTAGAAAATGAAGCCC